TTTTTCCGATTATCGATAACTTGCACCGTTTAACAAACAATCGATAAAAATCGCTATCGAAATCCCGTTTTTGAGCAAATTTCTTAGGTTTTAAAAGCTAGATTGACCAAATTTAAAATGTAATTTCTAAAATAGTTTATACAGATCAACTATCTTTCATTTTGTAAAAGATGGGCCAGGGTATTCCCCAGTCGGGCACTCTCAACTAGAGATACTTTCACTTCTTTAAGTGTTTCAATAGAGTACTTTAAATAGCAATTAAATTAAGAAAATTTGTAAAAAAGTTGTATTTAGAAACATACTAAAACAATAAAAGCTGTAATACATAATATAAAGAGATACCTTTGTACTGTCAAAGCAATCTTAAGATTTAAATAAAAAATGTATAGCTTTTTGTTATTTGATAAATTAAAATTTATCCAAAGGTTTATATTGTATTTTATACATGTACAATTTGTTAACTTTTGTATATTCTGCAGACCTTGAAGTGCAAAAAGTTCGTATAGAAATTCCTGCAGAGCTCCAAGTTTTCTTTATATTCTGTTTATCTTTAATGAAATGAAACTTCAATGTTTTTATTTGAAAAAGTAATTCAATATGGAGCTCATGCCTAGACAAGACCAATTAGACCAAAACTTTTTGCTTTTCCAGACTCGTTTCTATTGAAATACAAAGTTGTAATACTCCGCGCGACTAAAAAAGAAAAGGATAAAAGGTCAAACGCCGCGCTTGCTAAGAAACAGACGAGTGAAAGGTGTAATAAATTCGTTCGGTCTTTATTTTAATATTTACTGCAATCAAAAGCAATCCTTAATTAATTTGAAATTTCAATGTGCTTTTAATGAGTCCAAAAAAACTTGCCAAGTTTTATAAACTTGTGCATTAAGACTCAAAATGAGCGCAATTTCGCGTAAGGTGAATGCGAAAGTGGACGGCACGCGAACAGATTCGAGTTGAATGATTAAAAAGCTTCAACTCAAAAAAAAACGGATGTGCGGTTGACAAATGCTACAAATAGACACACACACACACACAAGAAGCGAAAGCGAATCCGCTTTTGTTTATCTACTTTAAACTAACATCAGGCACTTTTGCTATCTAATCCTGACCAACCCGACAGCTACTTAATGTCATCAGTGCCACTCGCTGGCATTTTGAGCGGCGACAAGGACAATGCCGCTGACGACAAAGAGGCAGCAGATGACGAAGTAGACGAGTAGGAGCTTTAAAGTGCGCAACGTTGAAGGGCTTGCCGGGCCGGGTGATTGGTGGGCGGGCGGGGAACGGTCGGCAGGCAGTCATGATCCTAGCCTATGGGGTCCTGCCAGAGCTCAGACTGTTAAATTGAATAATCGTTTGCGCTTGGTCGCATTTAAAAGGACCTTTTAAAAGTTTTATTGTGTGTTTGTTTCGTGTGCTACACACACAATACACAAATGTGGCAAATATCGATCAACCCGTAGATGCTGGACACACACACACACACACACACAAACGCAGGACACAATTTCTTGGGTTTATGCTCTAGTGCTAGAAACTTTTTTTTACCATGCGTTTATACCCTGCGCTCCCTAAAAATGTCTCAAGCGGTTATGCTCAAGTGGAGCAGGCTTTTGTGACAGCTATGTATGTTTAAAATTGGGTGAACAGGCCAGTTTATCTACCTTCTGACCTCTTCCCGTGCGACCTCAGAGAACTCAGATGCTATAAAAGCCCGAGCCGTAAAATTTGGTAAGCAGATTCTCGTATACCTTACATAGTTATATTTAAGCTTAAATTTTATATCAAAAGATCTGATCACGCCAAAATCTTTTCTTAATATCTTGTAGCACATATTTAGATGAAGTGTAGAAAGTGTCTATTACTTTGATTATTTTACAATTAACTAAAAAACGCGATAAACAGCAATATAAATTTCCGTAATGGTATTTTCTTGATTTTTGACCACTTTCCAATACTATTCCAGATCTGATTGCAGAGTATTTTCCCGTTGTGCACATCAAGGCAGGTTTGTTTTTATTTTTTGAGCTTTTAACTGACAGTCGAGCATGCAAAAGTTGGTCCTTTTGTTGTCTTTGTTATTGTTGTTGTTGCTGCTTTTGCAATTCAAGTTTTCCTATTTTTTTTGTCATTTGTTAGACATTTATAAGCAAATCCGGGTCTTGTTAACGTACGTTTCAAGCTGTTTTGTGTGTTTGTTGCTAAACTTTTAGTCAAATCAAACTGAATGACCCACTACCCAAACGTACCCCAAGCCCAAACATGACTTGAATTCAACTGAAAAAGCTTTCAAAGTATTAACAAGTTCATAAATTTTATGAAAATGCCTGCAAATTGATTTAACTACCGAATTTGCCGAACCGTTGCAACGCACCTGAACTTTCAACTTGGATACAGATAGCTCGAGTGGAATAAGCATATTACAGTTTAGGGGCGATTGAAATAAAAGATAATGTAAACGCCTGGCGGAACACTATTTAATGTAAGGCAAGCAGATATTGTGTGCAAAATAAGACAAAATGCAACATCTCGACCTTGATTGCCATTTGCCAGGAATTGTGTGTGTGTCTTAGATTCGACAACTCAGGAGCTTACACTTGTTAAATAATACTCCCTACGAAAACTTTTCCGCTTTGCTTACATTTCGAGTGCCTGACATTTGGCCAGGTGTGAGCCACGCGTCGCTTTCTTTCCGTTTGTCTTAGCCAACCAGATTGGCGGGTGGCCCAATCCTCAGCTGGTTGTATTGACATTGCGCCTACCGCTCAAGTGACAAGGCAGCCGACACGTTTATTTAACTTTTGTTAGATGCCCGTTCCGTATTTCGGACACGATAAATTTTATCCTGTTGGTAGCCAGCAAGTTTGCAGAGCCCAACTTGTGGCACACAGAAACCACCACGAACTAAGCTCTAAACATTCACTCGCATAAGCTACAAATATATTCATGTCATTTTATGCAGCCAGCGAGGGTGGTTCAGAAAATTACCGAAAGAACATCAAGAAACAGACGGAGGAACACGCCTATATCGAGTCGAATGTTAATGCTGATCAAGAATATATACACTTAATGGCTACGGAGGCATCTCTTTTTATGCTTTACACATCTGGTGGCAAAATTCGAATACCCTCTGCAAGGGTATACTACCCAAACAAGCACTAGACCATAAAATACCCTAGGCATCTTTTTAAAAGCTCTCTATTTGTTTACTTGGCGTATCTGTTCGCTTTTTTAACCGATTTATGAGTTTTCAAAGGGATATAAAAGATATTTTAAGGCAAGCAACAATGTAAATGAATAAGTTAAGTTAAAAAATAAAAGTACTTACATTCTGTATTATCTGTATAACTTGCTCCAATTCAATCAACATAATACGAGTATTTCTGAAAATTTGAATATGGATATGAATAAAGACATGAGTATGAATTTGAATATGAATATGATTATAAATAGATCTATACAATCCATAAATAGATCAATTTACGCTCAAATATTCTATATAGAAATAGGTCAGAAATTTCCCACCCCATAACTAAGTGAAATCTCATCCGATTTGCCCGAGGTTTCTTTCTTTCTTGATCAATTTGGCATCTAAATCCGGCAACATTATTTTTGGTCGAAATTCATGTGAAAATGCTACCTTCTAATATTCTATATAGAGATAGGTCGAAATTTTTCACACACATGACTCAATCAAATATCGAAGTTTGACCTTTTTCTCATGGTTAGGCCTTTAGCTCAATTTGGCATCTAAATCTGGCAACATTCATTTTCAAAGATTGAGAGAAGTGCAGCCATATATCGATGTGAACATGAATATGAATATGAATAACTACTGCATATGGTTCAGAAAAGTACTCAATGAAACTCTTTAATACATACCATATGAAGGCATACATCCAGACAAGTGAGTATGAGCGTGTGTGCGTGTGTGTGTGTGTGAGTGTGATGCAATTAAATGTGCACTCTATAAATAATAATATAAATAGTAATATTCAAATAATAAATGCATTTGTATTTACCTAATATTTACTGCTCAAACTGCCCTCGTATTTAACGAAGCAAACATTTACATTCGGCTACGAGACATCAAATTCAATTTCAAGTTTAGCCATAGCCAAACAAACGTGATGTATCCCAAAGGTCTCTTCCTACATACATCCGGTGCGCGTCAAAGAATGTGTGTGTGTGTGTGTGTGTGTGTGTGCGTGTTGGTGTCCAGCAAGTGTCCTGTGTCCTGTGTGCTGTGTGCTGCGTCCTGCACCCATTTTCAATTTGAAGGCAGCTGCAATGTCTTCAACTTGGCTGCTTGTGATTTTTATGTGGCCATAAATTCTCAGCACGAGCTGAGCTCAGTCCAGGTCTCATCTCATCTTCCGCAGCTTCCGGGCAAATATGTAATTGCATGCAATGCGCCACGAGAATGGGTTATAAATGAATGCCAATGTGTTTTTGCCTCCAGCGACCCTTCGCTCCATTCTGTGCCTGCCTTTGAAGTGGAAGTGCAGCTGGAAAATTGATGTCCTGTCCGTTGAATAAGACATCTCTTTACATGAAGCCGCTGAGTGCAGCAATAAAAGATACATTTATCGTTTTCCAATTTGTGTAATTTTTCTGTTTCAGTTTCTGTTGTTGTTGTTGTTTGTTGTTGTTGTTTATTTGTTTATAACTACATCAATAAATTATGTATCGTATAATTCATACTTTTCATACTCTTTGAAAGGAAATTTGATATTATGGAATTGCGTGCTATTTGCTCAACTTTAAAGATTGTTTTTTTTTTTTTTTGTTATTTTTTATTTATTTTTTGAATCATTTGGGAACAATACTTGAAACGTCTAAGCACAAGTTAACTTTTCTAGGTTTCTGGTTTCTCGTAAAGCTATAAGTTAAGTATGTTTTATGCATTTAATAGCTCCCAAGCTGATTACTACATAGTCCATTGATAGTTGCTTCAAAGAGTATCATGATTTGTATTCTTTTTGTATCGTTTTTTAAACTTCGGCCAGCCGAAGACTAGAGTACATGTGTGTTTACTCATTATATGGTTTAAGATAAGGTAAGGTATTAAGTTCGTAGGGTACTAAAAGGTTGCCCTCATTAACTTTCACTTTTTGCCTTAGGATTGTGTGTGTGTGTTCTTTATAAAGTATTAATTGCAAATGTCTATGCTTGATATATTCTTTTCTGTTTTTAAGCTAACGCGTGTTGCCTGGCTACACATACATTTCCAATTAAGTATAGATTAAATGGTACATACTCATACATACTTGTGTGTGTGTGTGTTAAGGTTTAAATTGCTATTGTTGTTGTGCAGTGCGTGTGTGTGTGTGTGTGTGACTGTGGATTGTGCAGAGAATCGAATTAATATAAGGCCACTTATCATAGTAAATAGTCAGAGTATAATGCACACATACACACAACTACGAGTATGTAAGCATGTATATATATATTTATATATATATAGTTCACTTTCATACATACATATATTCCATGCCAATTATCAATTTATGTTAAGCGTTTCAATTGCTGTTTCTCTTGCAAGTAACAAAAAAAAAAAGTCTGTTAACTGCGCCGCCTAACTAGCCTTAACTTAAGTGGCCTTTCTAGGGTATATTTTTGTGTCTGTGAGTGTGCCTAGAAATGCGTGTGTTTGTTATTGTTGTTCGCTACATTTCGAATTACAAATATTACTAATCGAATTGTTTGTTGTTGAATAGCATTCATTTTGCTTGCTTATTAACTTGTTGCTTTCTATTGAACATTGGATTTAATAGACAATATTCGCTTAACTCTTTTTTAGCTGCTACAATTTAATTTCTGTTTGTTTCGCTGCTTACATTTTTAAGGATTTCATTTAATGTTAATTATTTGCGTTTTTCTTTCTTTTGCTTGATAGTGCATTTGCTTTAGCTCAATGAATTGTAAACCTCGTGTTAATTGTTGTTCTTGTTATTAGTTTGTTTGTTACTAAATTGCGGGATACACTAATTAACTACGCTCATTATTGTAATGTTCAGCTCAAGAATACTTATATGCATAACCATGTACATATGTATGTGTGTATATGTGTGTGATCGTACGTGTGTGTGTGTGTGTGTGTGTGTATGCTAAAAACCCTTGGGTCGCAACAGTACCCTTCAGTTACATTTAACTATATACGATATATATATGCTAAATATGTTTATGTATGCGCGTGTCAACTCCTCTGCCTCGCCTCGCTGGCATTAAATGTACAGTAACAAATTTCTATATATGAACTGGCTGTTCGGATTTTAGCAATCTATATAGATAGATATATGTTTTAATATATTATATATATATATTGATTGATGGATTGGCTGTTATTAAAAACCTGTTTCATTCTTTCGTTTTCTTTGTTGGTTAAACAAAAAAAAATAAAAATAAAATCTTGGAGATCGTTTAAGACAAAAGAGAAAAATAATAAAAAATAAAAAAATGAGCTGTGCCAAGCTTTTGCCCTATTTACAGATTCAGAAATAAATAAAAAGCAAACAATAAAGAAAATAAAATAATAATTATGTAGAGAATAATGTTAGGAAAATGTAATGCTTATAATTTCATAATTGTATCAAAGGAAAAATTGTCTAATCGGTGTAAAACACAAGGAAATAAATTAGGTGCATATGCTTTAACAACTAAATCAGATTTCGCATTAACATTTTTTAGTTTAACATTTGTGTGTGTGTGTGTATTTATGTGTGTGTGTTTGTGTGGGAGGAAGGTGTCAGTGTGTGTGTTTGTGTGGTGTGGTGTGCCTGTGCAGAGCAGAGCATTTGCAGTTGCTTTTGTTATTATTGTTTAGTGATTGCTAAAGTAAAAGTTGTTGTTGCGTATGTTGCCACGTGTACGCCAACGAATGCAGCTGAGCAGAGCGAGGCGGGCGTTGCGCAACAACACCTGGCCATAGGCACAGCAAGCGCATATGCGGCGCACACGCTCGGCCAGCGTGCGCCGCCGGCAGCGACGTGGACGCCAACGGGGCAAATCTTGCCGTCGACGGCGCAGTTGACGTCACTTGCGGCGCTGGAAGACGCGTCTGAGCGCCTTGCGCCAAAAGAAGCGCTGGGATTTGGGCTTGCTGTATTGCGGCGGCAGCTCCTCCATGGCCATGGCCAGTCCAAAATCCTGCACACTATCAACATCAATATGGTGCGGATAATGGCTATGCGATGACGATGGCTCACTATCTCCAAAGCGCTGTCGCGTTGGCGTTGCGGGCGCTGTACGTGCACTGGACAAGGTATTGACAGCATGCGGCTGTGGCGTGGGCGGTGCGGAGGCGGTGGCCACGTATGGGGCAACCAGATAGGGACGTGCGCGCAACGCCGCCATGGCCGATGCCGAAGTGGATGCAATGGATGAGATGGAGGCCAATGTGGCCACAGATGCCGTTGACTGCATATGCTCGGATGATGCTACTGCTGCTGCTGTTGCTCCTATTGCTACTGCTACTGCTGCTCCTGCTGGCTGGCTGGCTCGCAGCCAACAACCAGGCTGCATCGTATCTTATCTAAGCCACGGATGCTGCAAACACTCTGCAGCTGTGGCACGATTGGCCGGATCGAATTCCAGCATCGGTTTTAAGAACGCCGCAAACGCCTCCGCATCACGCTTGGACCATTCATACTTCTCCACCAGCACATCCATGAGGCCCCAGGGCTTTAGCCCGGTTATGTTGCGCAGCTCGCCGTTTCGATTGAACGTCTGCTGTGCATACGTGCCCCGGAACACAATTTGTCGTGGTATGGGACCAAGCAGCTCGATTATGTGTGCTATATGATCCTCATCGCGTGTATATGTATCGCCGGAATGCGGCTCAAACAGATAATCACCGGTGGCCAGCTCAAATACCATGCAGGCGGTGCTCCAGATGTCCGCCGAGGTATCATAACCGGCGCCCAGTATGACCTCCAGCGAGCGATATTGTCGCGTCTGTATATCCTCGGTGAAATGTCTATCCACCCAGCAAGCATTGCCCAAATCGGCAATTTTCACCTGCACATTGCAGGCCTCTAGCGCGGGATCACGCTTATTGAGTCGATGCTTGGACAACGGCGGCGGCGGTGGAGGTGGCGGCAATAGCGGCTCCGAATACGGGCCACCGTTGGCCGACGAGGACCGCTCAATGGAGATACTTGAGATTTTCGAATTACTATTCGAGTTTTGTTTCGAATTTGAATTGTTGTTGTTCAACTGCTGCTGCTGCGGCTGCTGCTGCTGTTCCTGTTTGGGCCGTGACGATGATTTCTTATTGCCGAAGGCGGCACCATTTGATTGTCCCTTAAGCGTGCTGGTTGAATGGCTGCTGTTGCTGCCATTCGTGTTGGAGCTCTTCAAGGCGCTGGCGCTGCTGCTGTCGCCGCTGCTGGTGGAGTTCTCCTGCGGCTGAGATTGCTGCTGACTGGTTTTATCTGAATAATGGATAATAGGCAAATGAATATAAAATAAGTATGAAGCTTAATACGGAGCGCTTTTCCACTTACTCTTGTTCTTCTTTTTCTTCTTCTTTTTGGCCTTCTCAGCACCTTCCTCTAGTGAATTCTGGCCAGCATCGCCGGCGCTCGCTTCGTTAGCCAGCTTGGACAGCGCAGGCTGTTCTACAGCCTCCTCATCATCGCCATCATCCTCATCTGGATCCGGTTTGGTCAGCTGCATTGGCTCCACTTCGTCGCCGGCCACATCATGCTCGATATCGGAGCCGCATGCATCACCATTTTGAGCATGCTTATCGGGCTGCTGCTGCTGCTGCTGATGTTGCTCCTCGCCGCCAGTTTGCTCCAAGTAGTCGCGCTGCTTCTTGAACAGTTCCATGCGCTTCTTGGCCTTCTTCTTTAGCTTCTTTTTCTTGTTCTTGCTCATCTTGCCGGTGATGGGCGGCTCGCGATACTCCTTGGGCGCACGACTGACCAAAGATGGATACATCTTGGAGTTCATGCAATACAATTGCGTCGCCTCAACGGCCAGCGAACGCACATGCGGCTCATCGACACACAACAGGACATTCTCCGGCTTAATGTCTGTGTGTATGATCTTACAGCAGTCATGCAAATAGTCTAGACCCTCTAGGATCTGGCGTGTTATACTTTTGACATTCTCCAGCGGAATGCCACGATAATTGGACTTGCGTATGAGCTTCAAGAGATTATCGCCCAGCACCTCGAAGACCATGCAGATGTGCGTGCCATTAACGCCGGTGATTTTAAAATCATCAAACATTTGAACCGTCTTCTGGCGACGTGGATTCAATGGATCCGTCTCGCGCACCGTTCTGAGTATCTTGATTTCATCCTTGGCCGTTTCGGCGAAATGCTGCGCCGATTTGACAATCTTAATGGCCACATAACGTTTCTCCTGCAGATCCCAGCAGAGCCAAACAGTGGAAAAATGTCCCCAGCCCAATTTGCGAATGACATGATAGCGACCTGTAAATAAAGATTCGATTAGAGTCTGTCGGGCATTCCACTAGCGTGCGTTAAAAGGTTTTTAAAGTGCACCAATCAAAAAAATGAAATCACAAATGTTTGCCTTTGATGGCAATAAATCCATTGCAATAACTCGTCGCCGCACACACAGCCGGACAACTGAATGGACACGATGAGCAGCTCCTCAATTAAATGCGCCCTCGGAGCGCACTGAGGATTGTCAGCTGGGCCATTCGCATAGCACAAATTGACATTGTGCTCAGAGTATATAATGTATATAGATACATATGCGTATATTAAGTCTGATTAGTTAATAAGCGAGTAGAATATTCGCAATGTCTGTGGGCTCTTATCATTGGACGGGCGTGTGCCTTATCGCAGGCAAAAGGTTAGCGGTATTTTCTTTGATTATAAATCCCCTAAAATGTGCTTTATGCACATCATTTGCTATAACAAAAGCATTTGCCAGAAACAAACGCACGCCCGCCCATCTCTCAACAATATGTGAAGGCTGGGTGGGGCAGCGGGCGTGTCAGCGGTTGGGGCATCTGCTTGTGGCAGCCACAGTATCAAAACGTGGCAGCCATGTCGCCAGCAGCAACCGCAAAGCCAGCCAAATTCGAACTGCCCCACCCCATAAACAACCCTTGAGCGCGAACAGACACACACGCACGCACACAAACAGATGTGTCTGTATATATAAAAAGGGGCGTTCCAGATTAACAACCTGTTGTTGTGTGAGCCATTAACAACAACAACAACAATAACAGCTACCCAACACAATCAGGTTGGAGGACGGTTGCCCCTAAAACAACAGGAAAACGACTGCGTTTTGGGTCATGTTCTATGCAGCACGAAATGGGTCTTGTGCCGTGGCCTAAACAGGAATTATTCAAATTCAACTAAATAAACAACAAAGTTGTTGGGTTGTCTGCCACACGCAACGAAGCTTAAATACCCTAACAAAATCAATATATCAATTAAAGCAATCAACTGTGAACTGTAAAATAAAAATAAAAAAATAAAACGCCTGATAAAATGCCAAGAGGAACGCTGTGTGTGTAAATTTAGCTAATTTGTACAAATAATAGAATGAAATATTCGATAATTTGACCTTCACTTAACAGTTATTACTTTATAATCCGTTCAACTCTAACCCACAAATTTTGCAGCGAGAACAGGTGGAATTTGTAAAAAGAATTGATGAAATTGCCAATAGGAATGCATTTTCCATTTGACAGAGCACAAAAAGTGTTGCACAAATCGTGATAAGAGCATGTAAATGCTTTCAGGTAGGGCATACAAAAATGGCGTGCTATATAACTGTATTGTTTCTTTGTTGTTCGGTTTTACTGGTATTTGTGACTGGGCGTGAGGTGCAAACAGGTGACATCGCCGTATGGAAACTTACCCTGAAACAAATCGCCAATGTTGACCGGATGATAGCCGCCCTTGCAGTAATCCTCTTTAAGTTCCTGCTCCTCGTTCTCGCTGTTCATTTCCGATTCCTCCGATTCATTGGACGAACTACGCGGTGGCTGCTGATTGTGCATGCTGTTCTTCGATTTCGATTGCGACTGGGTGTCGGGCGTATTGCCCGAGCCACTCGATGTGGACGCGGTGGCATTGCTAAAGGATGCCACAGATTTCGAGTTAACAGCGCCCCCAGCGCTGCCTACGTGCAGTTCAAACTTGCTGGCGCCCTCTGTGTGGCTATTATTAGCATTTTCTGGTGCTGGTGCTGCTGATGTCGCGGGCATAGCGCAGTTGTCGCCGCTTCTGTGTTGTTGTTGTTGTTGTTGCGGTTGTTGCTGTTGTTGTTGTTGTTGATTTTCTTGGACGGGAGCTCCATTTGCTGCATTTTGCTTGCCGCGTTTCTTGTTGTTCCTATGCCGCTTCTTCTTCGCTTGAATAGCCAAAACGCGGCGGTTGACGTCAGCTTTTGAATTCATCTTATTATTGTTGTTGTTGTTGTTGCTATTGCTAATCGCTTTTTGTTATTCGCTTTTTATTTATCGCTGTGTCGTTCGCTCGCCTCCGCTAATTTTCACCAAGTTTAACAGCTGTTGAAGAAATAACAACAAAAAATGTGCTCAAATCTCAATAAGGCAATGCAAAAAGTTTACATTTGTATTGTACGTATTATTGTTGTTGTTGTTGTTATTGTTGTTGGCGTGCGCACGCCTTGTCTATGCTGGGGCTTCGTCAAGCTCAGCCAGCCAATCGTCTACTTGCCTCGGGCTCCCACTTGTTCCAATTTGTCACTGCAGCTGCTACTGTCACTTTGTTTGATTTTGGTGTTATGCTTTAAGCAATACGGAAAGAATAGAAAAACGTGCGTGCAATTTGCTCGGCAATTTATCGCAGCGTATCGTCTTTTATTCGCAGAAAGAAAACCGAAGTCAAACAAATGAATTGGCGAGCGAAATTATGCCAAAGTGGCGCTGCCAACTTGAAATGTTCTGCATGCACTGCGCACTGTGCACGATTAACTCGTGTAATTTGGAGTCAATTTTTTAAAAACTACTTATTGCTCTACATAACGTTAAGAACGAATAAAATGCCAGAAAATGTTACTAAAAAATTGTGGAACAAAAAAAATGGTGCAAATCTGAAGTATGACTGAGAAACGAGCTAAGTTGGCAACACTTGTCGCCTTGTTAATTCTTAGCGTGTGCTCACTCACACACGCACACATGCAAACGAACCTAATGCCTGCTCGCTTGCACAGTAACTGTAGCACACATTTGATTTAGCATTTGGATGTGCTGCCTATTAACAAGTTAGCGTATTTTTAATTTGTAATGTCAACTTACATGACTTTAAGCGTTTCTGCATGCTAATCCAATGACATTTTGTGGTGAAACGCATGGACTTTTAGTCAAAACGTTGCTGCGCACCTATAAATCCGCGAGTGGAAAAATCTACTAACCAAAATACAACACTGGCGTTCAGAGTTGGTAAACGTTACAGATAGACGTCAAATCAGCTGTTGTGTAGAACAGTTTGCGATACATTAAATTAGTTAACCTTTATAAAAATTGCAAAACACAAAATTTTAACAAAGGAACAAATAAATAAGGAAATTCATAAGGGATTTGACAGTAATTGGTGTGGCACACTAACAAGAAAAGAAATATCGATATTTACAGCAGTCATATACATCGATGTTATGCCTGCACTTTGTTATTACACACTATCGAGATATCGCTAAATTTACAAGTTGTCGTTTGTTGGCCCGGAACAGCTGACTGCTGCAAAGAGGGCGAAACGTAGGTTTGCTGCTTGATTTAAACGTAAGCAGTTATAGCAATTAAAAAATGACAACAAAATAAGTGCCTGCTATGCTATTAAACCCGTTCCTAAATTTCGCTAAAATTCTACTACGCAAAATGCTACCCTCATGGGCAGTGCTGTAAAACGCACGTTAAGCCAACAGCTGTGCAACAGCGCTTTGCAACACACGAACGACTGAAATGGCGCGAAAATAATTTGGCGCGTCGCTGAACATTTGGAGGGAAACTGCATCGCCGTGGCCCAGTTGTAATTTGAGCAGTGGCAGTGGCAAGACGTGTATGAAAATATAATAAGAAAAACGAAATAGTGAGATACCACAGAGCCAACAACCAGACGTGCCAAGAGTGAAATTGTCAAGCAAATACAACAAGCCCATAAGCATAGCATTTAATTCAAATTGCAATCATGGCCCAGCCATCGGTAGCTGCATTTTTTAGCAATCGCAAACGTGCGGCCGTGGATGATGCGACCACAATTAAGACCAGGGTAAGTGGGTGTACCATGTGGTTTATCATAAAAACGTGCCCCAAGTGCAAGAGAAAATAAAAGTGCAACAAAAATTCCTGTAGATACTTTTGTATCTGCTGCTGCCGTGTGACTGTGTGTGTGTGTAAAGTGTGGCATGCAGCGTCCTGCGGCCATTTTCTATTTGCAAAATGCTGAGACTCAAATCCAGTTGTCTTTACTAACTCGTTGCAGCGTCTCGCAGAACCAGTCGAAGTCGCTGCCCCACAAAATATAGCGCTTCCGAGCGCTTCCACAAATCAGGATGTGGACATGGATGCACTCAAAAGTGGCATACGCACACGATCGGGCCGAACCATCAAAATTATTGGCGTACAGCCAAGCACACCGTCTCAGGAGACCAGAAAGAAGTCAGCCAAGGTTGAGGCAAACATCAAGCAGCCCAAACTTGTACAGTTCATACGCAAGGGCAACCTTTCGCCGCGCAAGCAACCACCCAGCAAGGCGAGCGATGCGGCGCAGATCATCAACGAGCAGACGCCCAAGTTGAATGTGACGTTTGCCGCCAAGCAAAATGCGGAGAATGCGCAGCGTGGCATGCGCACGCCCACCAAACAGATCATCAAGGATGCCTCGCCCATAAAGCACATAGATCTGGCCAAGCGTGGCCTGACCTTTGACGAGATCAAGACCAAAGTGTCGCGCAGCGCCAAAATGCAGGAGCTGAAGGCCGTGCTGGCGCGCAAGGCACAACTGGAGCTGCAACGCAAGGCGCAGGAGGAGCGCAATCGCAGGCTGCGCGAGGCGGGACCATCACCAGCCAAGCCCGCCAAGACGGTGCAACTCAAGGAGTTCGATACCATCGAACTGGAGGTGCTGACCAGGTGAGAGATGCGCTTCTCATATGCATAACGTATTGCGCCTGCCACAATAATTTCATTTTCTCTAGTGGCTATGGCCTAGAAACGAACGTAAACAAAAACATATGCAGCAAAAAACCGGGTAACATCATTAACAAAATTTCAATTTTTTTGTCTTATATATATTGCTATCGAGGTCGCACTGGGGCTGGGCATGTCTGTTGCCAGCCGCAGCGATAAGTGCAATCTGCTCGAGCTATTATTCAAGCGTTCAATTGCTGAAGTTGCATTTCTTTGGCCAAGCTAGTTGTTGTTGTTGTTGTTGTCGCAGCGTGACGTTGTGATCTATGAAACACCAGTCCACATGCATGTGTACTTGAATTTATGCTGCATTTGCTTACAGCAATTCATACACACAAACACACACACACACATGCTGCTAGTGCTATGTTTACCCTTCGCCAACAGACGTTACTTTCTTGCCTGACCTTCCCATAATTTCGGGGGTTGTTTATCTGTAAACTAACGTTGCCCGGCTTCGCCAGCATGGGAATGTATATATGACTCTCGGACTCAGGTAGAGCTGAAATATTGTAACGGCTTTTCATTTTTCTGCCTTTAGAGGGTTATTAATATCCTTACGGGGCATAGGTCTAACTGCATCGGCATTTTTTGTGTACCCAAATACCTTTTTCTGATAAGACTGTGTGTTATGATCCCTATGAAACTTGCTATTGCTACCACCACAAGTTATCTTTAATATTTAATAGTACAGCTTGCATTTTTCTGCATTGCTCTAACTACTTAACATATAACTTATCACAATACAGAAAGAAATCAAACTAATCTTGCCCATTCTCTGCTCATTTACAGCCCCTTGAAGACATTCAAGACGCCCACGAAGCTGCAGCCACCCACACCGGACAAGCATGAGTTGATGTCACCGCGGCACACGGACGTCTCGAAGCGTCTGCTCTTTAGTCCGGCCAAGAATGGTTCGCCAGGCAAGCTGCTGGAGCCGCCAGCATATAAGCGCTTTGCCAGTCTCGTCGAGACGAGCAAAGCCGGTCAGCTGCCCTTGCCGTACAAGTATCGCCATTTGCTGGAGGTTTTCAAGGCTGTGGACTCGGTGGTGGCCATGTTCCACAATCGCAAGGAATGCATCACATTCAAGAAGCTGAAGCCGGCCGTGCAGCGTATGCTGCGCAAGAATTTCACGGAAATGCATCTGGCCCAGATCAAGCACGTCTATCCGGATGCTTTCATCTACTCGCAGATGAAAACACGCAATTTTGGCTCAATCTCCAAGGCTGATTACTTTCAGCTGGTCATCAGTCCCAATGTGGAGCAGTTGCCCGAACAGCAGCGCCTCAATAAAATCAATGAAGACGATGTGCTCGCGTCGGCCCTGTCGACGTCCATGAATCCACACGTCATGACCGCACGCATGCAGAAATTCCAGAAACTGTTGCTGCAGCGTGTCATGGAGGAGCATGACAAGTTTGTACGCTCACTGGATCCACCGATTATCATTACACGGGCGCTCACACGTTGGCATCCGCAATTCGATTTGGAAAGCTGCAGCGAGGTGGAGCTGGGTGTGCTGCCGCAGCCGCCGAACGTGGAGAAATATTCGTCAGCCAAGGATATACTATCGACGGCACGCAATCTCTTCAATTGCGCCACGCCCATGGAACGCGTAATGGATCGCTATGAGGCCAAGCTGGAGGCGGATAGGAGCCAAGCAAATGCTGCAGCTGCAGCTCTCACTCAACAAATGGCACCCAGCGAGACGACACCAACAAAACCTACTGCAATAGATGCCACCAAAGCCACAACAGAAACTTCCACTGCCACGCCCACTGTCAAAGAGTGTACGGCCACGACAAATACTGATGCCACGTCCAATCTGCTGAAGGGTTTGCCCAAATCTTTAATTGACAAAATACGCGCCAAGCAGGCAGCCAAAGCATTAGACGCCATGACACGTCGTCCGTCCCAGGATCAGGAGGCTACCAATTATTCGCGTCTACCGGAATTGGCGCGTCATCTGCGCAACGTATTCGTTACGGAACGCAAGAGCGTGCTTACCCTCGAGATTATCATCAAGAAAATACAAAACAGTTTCCGGGCAAATCTGACGCCGCAGGAGATTGAGTCGCATCTGAAGCTGCTGGTCAAGGAGCTGCCGTCGTGGGCATCATTTCATGAAGTGCGTAAGACTATGTATCTAAAGATCGCCAAGGATCTGGACATGAATAAGATCATTGAGAAACTGGAGGAAATTGCGAATGAGAAGAGCAAATAACTGAAGATTCAGATTCAGGCAATATATATGCAAATCCTAGACCCTGTGGACTATATCCAGCTATATGTATATTTAAGTAAACGCTTACCTAGGCTCAATTAAACTAGGAAATTATATTGTTATTCATACCATTGACATAATTATTATCTATATATTTGACCCATTATAAACAAACAAAACACTTTTCATCCAACTCATTGTCATTTACTCAATTATTTTGTGTAACTCAAACTTTTTACGCTTCATCAATTTTTTTAGTAGACACAACTTATATATTAAGACTCATTGTCATGTATCACGTTGATTAAATAAATGTTTTTCTGGAAAGTTATTTGTTATATTGAATATATATTTGCATTCCACAGACTGAAATATACCGCGAGCCGTTGCCGTTTAAATTTTAGGCGTAATCTAGTACATTTTTTGCATGAGTCTTAGGGCAACATTGTTCTTGTTTATTTTTGTGTGTGCTTGCGTGTGTGGTAACACTGTTGGTAGATGCGCGCGCTTTGCATTTGCTGTGCGATTTTATGGATTATTTTCGCGAATTATTTTTAAAATGCATGATAATGAGGCAGATGCGGAAATCCCAAAGCCAACAAGTGCAGAATCGGGTCAAATTAAGGCCATAGCAAAGGATACAGTACACAAAATCTGTTCGGGTCAGGTGAGCTTTTAACAAAACAGAGCCAAAAGCAAATATAAAGCGTTTTTGTTTTTACGGTGCAGGTGGTGCTCAGCTTGGCTGTGGCCATCAAGGAGCTGGTGGAGAATTCCATAGATGCGGGCGCCACACTGATCGAGGTTAAGCTCAAAGATCAAGGACTTCAGGGCCTCGAAGTCTGCGACAACGGAAGCGGTGTGGAGGAGGCCAATCTGGTGGGCATGAGTAGGTTACGCTAAGAGCTGGCCAATATATTGGCACTAATGATGTTTTTTTTGTTGCCTTTGGTAGCGGCCAAGTATCACACCTCCAAAATACGCGAATTCGTTGATCTGCTGGGCGTGGAGACGTTTGGCTTTCGCGGCGAAGCGCTCAGCTCGCTCTGTGCCCTCTCGGACATGGCCATACAGACGCGTCACAAGTCCGCGGATGTTGGTGAGTCGTTGGTTAGGAAAATAACC